AAAAAAAGAATCGAATTTATTTGTACACCTAATATTTCGTGGTCTTGAAATGACTCGCCGAAAATAAAAAAAAAACATCATTTATTTTCAATCCTTAATCGAAGAGATGAGCATATATAAAAAAATATGAATATTTTTTTGTTATTCTATATATACAAAGTCCATTCAGAACCGATGAGGGAACTTCTCTTTTGTATGCCAAGTTTGCGATATTTCAATGCATGCCGGAATTAAGATGTGTTTCGCAATCCTGTATTGTTTATAATATATAAATCTGTCACGAGATCACACATATACACGCAAATTAATCGTGCTTTTCTCAACATCGATATTCTAGTCAATTTTGAGTCGGTTTCCTTTATCGAGATACTTGATATGCTCGGGAAAAACGTTATCTTCTTAGAGATTCTTGATATATTAGATATCTAAGTAAACTTTGAATAGAACTTTTGGTGAGGTAAAACTCCCTTAAGAAGATAAAAGAATAGAAATGTACAATTTTGGAATTGCTCTCGATTCTCGGCCCAGTAGTAGTATAATATCTAAAAGATCGGTTACGTGCCAATATCGACACTGGTTATCAACAATCAACGTTACGAATTGGTTAACTTTGCTTAAGTTGATGTCGCGCTGTGATCGATCAGACTTTTTGCTAGTGGTACCTCCGGTGCGTTTGAACGCGCTGCGACTTTTTGCGGGCGGTATTTCCGATGCCCAGACAAAAGTTGTCCGATATCGCGCCGCGATCGAATAATGATAATCAGTTTGCCATGATATCGTCAACTCGGGCATCGGGCAAGAGTCAACAAATCGTGCTTAAGATCGTTTAATGGCAATGTATAATTGTCGTTATTTACCTGAAAATTTGGCTTTTACAGGAACCATCATCTTCAAGTGTATCTAAGATCCGTCAAGAAAATTCCTTGCGAAAGTTTGATAGAAGAATAAAGAAAGATCGGCCGAAAATTATCTACGGGTTTATCTATGATTCAATGAAAGGCACAGTTAATCTAGGACACCTTGTATGCCTCGCTAATCAATCTAATGAGCTTAATCTGAGCTTAAAAGGAAACTGCGGCTTTACGCTTGCCGCGCTGTTTTGACATAGCTTTTTATATTAACGAATGGCTTTATGATTACTAATGATCTAATTCACATTTTATTAAACGGTTGTTATTCTTACTGTATTACCGTGCTGTCTTTGCCGACTGTATCTTCGTGTGTATATCTTCACTCTCACAAATCGCTCTTCGACTCGTGCTCTCATTCGCGTAATCGATCGATTGATCGAGATCCTTTCGACGCCATTTAAGGGCGATCAACTTTCACAAGCGAAGCGAGAGTTTACACCGACGACTACTTATACTACGTTTATATGTGTTTGTGTATGTGCCATTACTATACTCGGCAGGAAAGATGGCGGATGGCGTTATAAATAATTTCTCCCTCTCTTTCTTTCCTCGCCCTTTCTCTTTCCTCCTTTCTCATTTCTTCTTTCTCCATTTCGCCGTTAAATGAGTAAAATTAATGAAGATTATATGCACGTGGACGAGTATACGACTTAATTCAACAGGTGTTACCGCTGAGCACGTACAGAAATGTCGCCTACTTTTGCGCATCTGCCGACGGATAACGCGACCGAATATGTATATAGAACAATATACGTTAGGAGACAGGACTGCCTTCCAGCCTTCATTGTGATGTGGCTACTGTACCGCACATGGGAATTTCCATTTTTCCACAAGAGAAGAAGGAGACTTATAATTGTCCAATGATTTGCTTCTCTCTATACTCTACTTCTTATTTCTTCGCCACTGTACCTTTCTACATCTTATAATTATACAGAGTTTCCCGGAGCAACTTTACTAAAGTTCATGGGAGTATAGAACAGATTGAGGGAAATATAAAAGTCCTACATCGTTTTGCGATATTCGCAATAATAATTATGGTGATACAAAAATTGCGCGCCAGGCTGGTAAGGGAAGAATTTATAACGTGATCTCGTAATTGTAGTCGACAATTTATATAGTGTAGCGGTCCATGACGCGAGTCTAGGAGCGGTACGGTAAGAGCGGTGATGTCGCAAAACGACACACAGAACTTTTATGCTTATCTCAATCTATTCCCATAAACTTTGGCAAGGTTGTTCTGGGACATTCTGTGTACAGGATGTCCCCATTTCAATCGATCACCCTGATTATTTTCGCAAGATGAGGTCTAATGAAAAAATTGTCTAAAAGTTCTATGGAGAGGGGCGTACGGTGGTGACCGTGTTAAAGTTCACTTCAAGGTCACATCGATTTTTTCAATGGAAACACCTATTTTTGTTCCCAGAAATTGAAAGAGCATCAAATTTTACGTAAAGATATATGACACGGAGTCTGGTTAACCCTAGTGGTGTCAAATAAAGTGAATTATATTTCTTTTTTTCAACGGAAACACGCATTTTCTTTTATCCCAGAAATCGAATTTTATGTAAAATATGCGATGGGGTCACAATGTCCCCAGTGAGGTCATACTAGGTCAACTAAATTTTTTCAACGGAAATCCCGATTTCTACCTGCAGGAACCGATAGAGCGTCAAATATTACGTAAAAGTATGTGGTCAGGACATGGGGTCAAACTGGAAACATAATAGGGATTTATCTTTAAAGTAAAAGGAAGGTAAAGGGAGGTATCTTTAACATTGTCACTACCGTATGCCCATACCATACAGCCTTTGTCTAAGCATTTTTTTTTTCATTTGACTTCATCCTACGAAAATAATCGAGGTGGTCGATTAAAATGGGACATCCTGTTTGCGGGGTGAGTGGGGAGGAGATCGCAATTGTTGGAGAATGTGTTCAGAGGATCAAAATAGAATCACAAAGAAAGTCCTAGTAAACATAAGTCCGATTCTCAGCTGTTTTGCAAAATTAATGGATATTATAAACAAACATTCGCACTGTAGGCCAATTATGCGGCAGAATAGGTTCCCAGCCATACACAACTAAAAGTTGTATACGCGTAGCGAGGGAAAACAGTAATTTTGTCATTTCTTCGTAACCATTTATTTTATCTGTTGAAATCGCTTAATTATATATTTTTACAATGCCTGCAATGTTTACGCATCGAGAATTTGCCGACATCATTTTCACTTATGGGTACTGCAATGGGAGCGTGCATGGCATATATAGTGCGAATTATATAAATTTTTATTTATAATACTTATTAAAGGCTGAGAATCGAACGTATGTTTATAGGACTTTCTTGTCTATTTTGATCTCTTAAACACATTCTCCAAATATTCTTCCTCAATATCCTTACATATAATCTATGTATATAGGGACATTAAAAAATTAGATCGACAAACTTTGAAGAAAAATAAGGAACTTCTCAAAATAAGCATTTTTTGTTAATAATTTTTTTTATAATGTTTTTGTTTTAATGCTATATGGTACAAATTAATTATATGGAAAAATCAAATCCTATACAGTTTATTTTTACCATGTAGCATTGAAACGATACGTTGTAGAAAAAAATGATATTAACAAAAAATGTTTATTTCGAAGTCCTCTATTTCATTTCAAAACCTTTCTCGGTCTAATTTTTCAATAGCCTATATACACACATACGCATATATACACATAGGCCCACGCATATGAAGTGGTCGGCTTTTGAAAAACACTCTTTAAGAAATTCGGATGAGAAAAAGATGTATATATTTTTAAATAAAAAACGATTAATTGCACTAACCAATTATAATGGCTAAAGTTCGCGCGCACTTAACGGTACGGTAGTGCAACGCATAACAGCAAAAGCGCATACGTCTCATTTTTCGCTTTGATGTACATAAGTAATGATTATAAAGTTGCTTCTCTCGGGCATTCACATAAATGCATCATAGATAATAAATTATGTGCGTATGAATATTGCGAATACTATTATACAACGCATAAGAAAGAAACTGTTGCGAAGTTTCTTTTATAAGAAGAAAAGTTAACTACTCCGCTAACTGCTCCGTTCTTAATTTTGCAAATTTTCATTAAACAAAAATATATGCAAACGATTGATTGTTAGATTTCTTTTCTAAATTTCAATAATAGAAAATTTCATACAATATTAATCGATAAGTTACATTAGATTAACATATAAATAAATAAATATACTTCATAATTTTTCTTAGTAATCTCACTGTGAGTTTCTTCTATATTTTTCATCAAGATTTTAATGTCTTTCGTATTATATATGGTTAAGATTTAACAGTTCTAAATGAAAATTTAATGAATAAAATTAATATTGTATAAAATGAGTTTCACTAAAGCGCTGCACAATCAATGCTTTTTGTAGGGAAGGATTTATAAGATATAAAACTAATAGCAAATACTTAAAAGAGAAATGAATATTCGCTTGTATATCGCACTATAATTATCCGCAATACTTTGGTGAGAACGTTATTACTGGCATGAATAATTCGTCCATTCGAGTATCGGTGTAGATGATTTTATTGCATATTTAATTTCCACATCTATGCACAGCGTATGCGCGCTTGAACACTGCGTTATACCGTATCTAAGCGCGTGAACTCTAATCGCTATAATGGGTAAACCGCATGTTTGAACTGCGTGCCACTTGAAATGTATCATTACAGTTTTCGCACCGAAATCTCCGTTCGCGATTATCTATTTAGATAATATGCCCTTGAGGAGAAACGCGATGATATCCCGGATTATATGTGTGTATGTATGTATTCGCCTGTTATACTAGCTATATCAACGTTTCTCTCTTTTCTTTATCGCTATTATTTCATTTCTACCTCTGTTTCCTTCCCTTTTTTACATTTTTTCAATCACTAGCTTTACCTCCCTCCCTCTCTCTTTCTCCCCTCTCCGTCACTCTCTCTCTCTCTCTCTCTCTCTCTCTCTCTTTCTCTCTCTCTTTCTTTCTCTGTAAACAGGGTTTCTACTAACCTGCCCCCTTCTTACTATGTCTTGCTATGTCCCGCTTTCTTTTGTTTCTAGATATTGCAGAACCTACAAAAAAAACGCACTGAGCGGAGGGGGCGCCTAAGTTCTGACAATATGACTAAAAAGAAGTCCGGTTTCAGCAAAAGCGACCTTATTTTTAAGGTAACCCGCCCTGACGAACGCGCGAGCTCACGTCCATTCGATTCGCACCGCGAATCGACCTCGGCAATTTTCCATCCGACTTTTGAGACTCGACAGAAGGAAGTCGATTTATTTAATTTCCGACTTTTTTCTTTTATCTTCTTTCTTTCCGGCGAATATTCCGACGGCCTAAACACGGTCGTCGAGTGAACTTTCCGACGATATAACATTATTAACAAAGGCTATTCAGGATGGCCATTCTAATACAAAGGTAAATAGTATTGTGTTTACAAAGTGATACTTCCATAATTGGAAGCTAACTGAAAATATCGTTAACGAAACATTAGCCGTTCCGTAGGTCTCAATTTTCACCTCGACATTGAATATCAATACACGAGTGAATTAGTCTTGATAAGTGAATTAATTATAGAGTCATTTGTTTCCCAATTAAACTGAAGATTTATCACTTACTGAAGATAAATATCCGAGAAGCAATATTTCGTAATATCGTGCGAGAAATCCGATCGACTGCCGTTCTGTCGGTGTCCCGCAGATTAAAAGTGGAGCTGACGAGGTTAATTGGATGGAGGAGCTGTACGCTGATTGGCTCGTTGGTTTATTACAAACATTCAGCTTCTATTTCCGCCGCATTATACATTACATATACCCGCAGCAATAGGCTATGCTTCCATACGTTTCACCATCGGCACCCGCCTAGCGATGAGAAAGTAAATATGTGTGATACTTGAGTGTGATTCAACGAATAAAGAGAACGCTCGATTACAAGCGTGTACCATATTTACGCCAGGTCTACGTCACCTCGCGAATAAAATAGAGGATTGGTTGATTCGCGAGACATTAAACATGCGTTCTCTGTGAACGAATGTCAAAAATCCAATATGACGTGTCCGACTTGAATGATCGTTATGCTCGTTTGAACCCTTCCTCTCTCACTGTGTATCTTCCACCTTCTTCTCATTTATTGTATCGTCTGTGTCTCCCGATTCCCGTTTATATCTTGCAATTCCCACTCTTTTCGCAGCCGGCGACTCAGTGGACAAACCGCAAACAGCCTGTTTCCACGCACTTTGAAACGCTTTTAATCGCTAGACGGTGTGCACGATCCTGTGAAAAACGAGCGCACGTGATTAGGCGTCCTTTCTCTGTCGTTTGTTGCATATTGCACACATACATACTCAAGATATACGCATCACACTGCCGTTCGAGAGAAAGAGCGAGTGAAATAGGAAACAAAAGGAGAAACAAGCGACCGCTTACGAAATAATTAATAGGATGCAATGTGTGTATCAGAGAGCTCGTTTCCCCTGCCTCTGCGCTCCAGAACGCTGCGAATGATTTTCACCTTTATATTATCCCGCTAGCTATACATCATCTCGCCGCTCTTCTACCCCGCTCCTATTGTCGCTTTCGGCCGAGAAAATGGCGTGTAATATGGCTATTTGTGTGCTTGCGAAACAAAGCGAAAACACAGATGGATGATAAAAGAGCGAATCCGCTTTCTCGCTTGGCTTGTGCTGCTGCTGCTTGACAACACTTGATTGGTTTTTACTTGGCAGAAGCAGTTTTGTTCTCCGTAACTTCTTTTCTCTTTGTTGTTCGTCATCACCTGAAACATCTCGGTCACCCACGACGACATTTCTTTCGTCGACTCGTCCCTCGGTTGTTGTGCGCTCTTACTTTTTCCACACTTTTGTGTTCCATTAAAGCGATGTTGTTACCACTTTACAATCGCCACTCATTAATATTATTACGCTGATTACTCATGGATCGCTCGTTGATTGTCCGTTCATTATCGTGGAGACATAACGAAACAAAGCTTTCATCTTTATTGGACTTGTGACTCGTGTATCTCGTAGAACAGAAGGTTGATGTGTTGAGTTACGTTGTATCATTTATCTTTGTGTTCTCGTTTCCTTCGTTGGTTTACAAGAGCCACACGCCACACGCGTGTACGTATGACGCGTTGTTGCGTTCATTGGGATATCATCGATATGATACATGTATGCGCGCGTGCGTGCGTGTATGCGGTTTTTACTTTAGAGCAGGTAATGTATCGAACTATATGTGATCTTAGCAGTAAGTTCCCCGTGTTCTTGTTATTCCCGTAGGCGCAGAAACAGTACCATTGATCATCATCCATGAGATATCACGATATCCAAATAGATACTAGCCCACGATGTTTTTATCGCATTTAGATAACCAGAGCTCCGTGTATCATCGAAATCCTACGGCGATCGGGCGTTGATCGGACACTATTCTCAACGCCTCTTATGTAATTTCGATAGAATCTGCGATCTTTCGATGACTCGAGCCCGTTTTCAAAATAATCGCGCGAGTGATGAAGCTGTGCGAGCCAATTTTCTTCAAAACTCTTTTTCTCTCAATGACTCCAACAAAATGTGAATGTGCGCCATTTAAAATGAACTGTTCTATCATTAAATTTTATTACATATGTATATATATATATATATATATATATATATATATATATATATATATATATATATATATATATATATATATATATATATATATATATATATATATATATATATATATATATATATATATATATATATATATATATATATATATATATATATATATATATATATATATATATATATATATATATATATATATATATATATATATATATATATATATATATATATATATATATATATATATATATATATATATATATATATATATATATATATATATATATATATATATATATATATATATATATATATATATATATATATATATATATATATATATATATATATATATATATATATATATATATATATATATATATATATATATATATATATATATATATATATATATATATATATATATATATATATATATATATATATATATATATATATATATATATATATATATATATATATATATATATATATATATATATATATATATATATATATATATATATATATATATATATATATATATATATATATATATATATATATATATATATATATATATATATATATATATATATATATATATATATATATATATATATATATATATATATATATATATATATATATATATATATATATATATATATATATATATATATATATATATATATATATATATATATATATATATATATATATATATATATATATATATATATATATATATATATATATATATATATATATATATATATATATATATATATATATATATATATATATATATATATATATATATATATATATATATATATANTTGTATAATAATATAGAAATAATTTATTTGTCAAACTCCACTTTCAAATATCACTTGGATTATATATTATATTATCCACGTGTTTCAATGCGCGTAATCGTAACATTTACAGTTCTATCGCAAAGCACAAATATGTAGAATTGCTTCGATACGTATAACAGAAAGTTATCCTCGGCAAAAAGAGACATCCGTTTCAGCAGTTTATCGTGCGTCATTATGTTATTATATCTGCCATGGCTATGTCACTTCTGCGGTTAAATGCAAAAGTATAATTATCCAACTGTTATATAAGGGGCAGGTCCTACTGCCGTACGATTTCATCGAAATCATCGTACCGCGATTGCCCAAGACTCGAGTCCTTGTTGACTAGTCCTTCGTTTTGCTTCCTGCTCGATGTTGTCGATGAGCACACGAATTATTCATTCATGGTAGTGTGGAGCAAATGTTTCTTTTCGTTCGACATTTTCCAATCTTTCGATACGTACGATAACGTACAAGGAACGACAGACGCGATAGTTACAAAAAGGAGGAAAAGGGAACAAAATGAAGAAAGAAAGCATTCGAAGCACTCATGGGTATTTGGGCAAGCGCATTTAATTTCAAAAATTTGGATTCATCCTATTTATAACGGGACCGGATTCGGGAATTTTCTTTGTGTATGCTTCAATATGGCGACAGCAGCAATGCATTGTATTGAAAATGCATTTTCAGTACTGCTAGTAGGGCATCCAAATGGAATTTCTCGAATATGGATCGCGGTGCATGACACACTCATTATTTCGCGGTGCGCGTGTGTCGTGATTCGTTACGAATGTCGCACGCATATATACGAAAACAGGGTGTGTGTGTGTGTGTGTGTGTGTGTGTGCACGGAAAAAATATTTATCGATAAAATTAGCCAGCAACGTCGTATAATTGGAATAAATATCCTTAATTCAATAGCAGTATCATTGAAATTAATACTTGAGATATTGAGAGAGGAAAACAAAATGTATGATATGTTAGTTTCAATCATATTTTTGCTATTAAGTCAAACAGATTTATCCCAATTGTAAGGATGTTGATCAATTTTATCGATATACAATAGTACTTCTTTCCGTGTATATATTTATATGTATATGCATATGACATACGTATGTATATACGTACATAACGTATGTACATAGTCAGAAACAAAAACCGCTACTCATGATACGATCCTTAGATAATTTTAACTTTCGATTAACAGGAGAACGCCGAGACTTCAACTTCGAATAATTAACCGGCGGCTTTTTGTAGAAATTTGGTGGAAAGACTGCGTTTAATTTGTCATCTTGCCGTTTGTTACACAAAACATAAAATTACTCATTAGATTGATATTTCTTGCTGAAATATTTTAAAGCTGCTAGAAAATGAAGAAACGAAATACTTTACTCGTGCATATTAATCAAAGCAATGTACTTTCCGCTGACAATTATCGGACGCGAATATCGGAGTCAGAATGTTCTCCGCTTTCTCCAACTTTTTATTTTTACAAAAGTACGGACGGATTCCCATATCGTTTATTTATTGCGCACGATAATAAAGCCGAGAAACATTATAATTGAGACCGTACAGATTGCATCGATGTCATTAGACGATTGTTTTTATATCATATTGGCGCATAAGCGGTTTGAGAATCTTGGCCCAACCAGTTGCGAACAATCGATTTTTTTTCTTCGTTCCTGTTCTTTATTTAATTAGAGCATTCGTAGACTAACCAGATTTGCGTTTTTATTAACGTTTTTTCTTTTAGGTTACATTAAATTGTTATTTTGTGTGTTACGTAATGCGTATTTTCTAATGTAGCATGCTTTTCTTAACGAATAAAAAAGACAGTTTCAAGAGTGATAAGCGGTGATGAGACAACTTACAAGAAATATGGCACTCTCACCCGAATTATCCGTGCTAAGATCTGAGCGTAAATACTTGCTCCATGTATGTTTATTGTTGACGAAGATTTCGACTCTCTAACTAGCTGCTCCGAGTTCGTTGCGACGCATTTCAACAAGGATTTAGAAGAAACTGGAGAAAATTCGCGATTTTGCAAACAACGATGTTGAAAGACTGAAAAGATTTGGAGAATGCTTCGCGGAATACGATGCACACCCTTTCGGGCGATAAATAATCGATAGTCCATCGGATCTTAGTGACGGATCTCGTCATGTAGTTTATTCAATTTCTTTTGAACATTAGCAACAAAAACAACAATAGAAACAGTGTATTCGACGAGTTGTTACATCTAACGCGTTTTTGTGCAACACTTGCTTATTTGCTGTACACTACGCAACCGGAGCTTTGGATAACGAGAGAAGTTTTTAACCCCCAAAACTGTGTGAACAAATTTCGGCGCGTTTGATTCGACGTAAGAGTAAAGCCTTATCATTATTGTTGGCAGTTCCTGAATATGGCGTCGGTGTTCATGCGGATCTTTAACCTGATCTGTATGATGCTCCTAATCGGCCATTGGAGTGGCTGCCTTCAATTTTTGGTACCCATGCTTCAAGGATTCCCCAGTAATTCATGGGTGGCCATTAACGAGTTACAAGTGAGTAATCGACGGTATCAGTCGGCATGTGTAATCGATTTAATATACGATTTAAAATCACAGAAGGAGGGGAAGTTTTTCTTTGTAATATTTCCAACACTTATGTGTACCTAATACTCTTTGCGAACTACTTAAGTACGTTTTTTTTAATACACGCACATATACTTGTGAATATTAATAGTAAAAAACGCATGTATTATACGAACGTTATTCAGACGAATTGATAATTATTTCGATTAATAAAACAATAATCTTAGTCTGATATGTTATCCTGAGCAATATTCCAAAGATTTTAACAATTAGTCATTATTCATTTAAAAGTTGTCAACGAGTTAAATAAAAATAACATAATTTTCTGACAACATATACACAGGATGTTCTGTTTTAACTTCCCCATTGATATGTCCCGAAAACTAAAAGTTCCATCGAGAAAAGTTTCATAAAAAATGTATATGGCTTCTAGAAGCAAACCTGGAATTAAGCGAGATGTTTTTCAAGTTGACGATCGAAAGAACTTGTGTGACGGTATACTTGCAGGACTCGTTTTGGTTGGAACAATATTCGTGGGCCCTCTTCAAAGCCATGTCACATATGCTGTGTATCGGATACGGTAGATTTCCGCCGCAGTCCTTGACCGATATGTGGCTGACTATGCTCAGTATGATCAGCGGTGCGACGTGTTACGCTCTTTTTCTCGGACACGCGACAAATCTCATTCAATCTCTCGATTCCTCGAGAAGACAATATCGCGAGAAGGTATAGCTATAACAATGCGAGCCGCCGTCTCGATTCGCAAGATGAATCGCGAGCTGAATTTGTTCGGCTAGAATTAAATGTTCTTCTGCTTTGATCGCAGGTGAAACAAGTGGAGGAATATATGGCCTACCGGAAACTACCGAGAGAAATGAGACAAAGAATCACGGAATACTTCGAGCATCGCTACCAAGGAAAGTTCTTCGACGAGGAGTTAATCCTCGGGGAACTTTCGGAAAAATTAAGAGAAGTATGAAGTATTGTTAATCGGGCTACAATTGTGCAATAATGTTCTTCCGGAATGATAAAATGATGATGATTTTTGGAAAGAATTATTGAAAGAATATATAACATTGTTTTGTTTCTCGGTGAGAAATCAGATCAGTTAAAAAACACTTAAGAAATGTCTATCTTCGATTTTGCTAAAAAGTGGTATGATTAAAAGACGTGTGCGTTTTTTATCTGCTAAGATGCAAGTTTAGAAACTATATCCTAAAATATCCTAAAATATCCCCTTCCTTCCATTTTCTATTTACGAATTTTTCAAAAACATGGTATATCATATTCTTTGTTTTTACAAAAAAACATAATAATTTTATCTCTCTCTCTCTCTCGATAAATATTAGGATTCAAAAACAATTTTTTTTAATAACAAATATTTTTTACGGCCTCTGGCCGTAATACACAGTGGTTTACGTGTGAAATTGAGAGAGTTCATATCTGTTCACATCGACAGTTTTAGGACAAGAGCCGAAAATTAAAAAAAATTTCCTCTCAACAGATAAACTCGATCACTTTTTCCATCACGTTGCTAAACCCATTATCTATGGTTTTTGCTTCCTTATGTAAACAATAATAAAGCGATGAGCTTTCTTTGTCAACTCGTTGGAATACACACCATTCCTGGAAAAAGGAGGTTGACGCTAACATACATATTAACAACATGAATGTTTCAAACAATTAATAGGATCGTTTATTAGCTTCATTTTTAATTTCTTATAAAAAAAGTAAGCTTTTCTTTTATTCTGAACGTATGTATCTATTTAAAATGGAAAAAGTTGACTTTTTGGCCGTTAAAAAAATCGTAATATATTTTAAAAATTAAAACTGACATGAGCTATTTTATTTAAAACATTTTCTGTTAACATTGTATTTTATATAAGTAGTCATAAAATAATTTTTTGAAATGTTTTTTGTACCCTCCGATAATCACTGAATTATCAGAAAAGGAATGAAACTTGAGAGGTGATTTCACTGTCTTTCACTTGCATCTTAGTAGATAAAAATGTATACGTGTTTTTTTTTATTTTACCTACTATGCAAGTGTGTTCAGTTTCATTGACATCGGACACGGATAATTTTTATTTTAAGTATATTACGATTCGCGTCTTCTTTTAGGATGTGATCAATTACAACTGCAGATCACTGGTAGCGTCTGTACCCTTCTTCGCCAACGCCGATTCAAATTTTGTCTCGGACGTTGTTACGAAACTCAGATACGAAGTCTTCCAGCCAGGTAATTTTCGTCGTTATCTCTACAAAGGTCTTATCACGCTTGTTCGTCCCGTATTCGAATCATGTATTTTTACATACTGATGTTGTAATTAGATAATATTTAATATATACGTAATAAGATTAACCCGGGACGCCCTAGTTAATTTATATCACATTTATCATTTTAAATTATATTTGCCAATTTATTAATAGCTTCATACTTTTTTTTTCACGTAAATTCTTCTCATAGTCTTTGCATATAATATAGAAAAGCAGATGAACATGTTTACTCTTGTACGAACATGCGCGAACATACATATTAGTAGTTGGTTGGAAAGGGCCGTAATACGCATCAGTTCTTTTCGTGTCGTTATAAATAATGCATTTCTCTGAAATAATAATAATATATATTACTGAAAATTATTGAAAAATATGGATGAACATATAGTTTATAAGAGTTATTAAATTTCGGAATTGATGGAAGAACCAACTCAAAGACAAAGAATGTATTTATAAACTCAAAAATAATTCATAAACAAAATTAAACGAAGAATCGATGAAGAGAATATATGTAAAAGATTCGTCATAATATTTTGACAACACTAAATTCAAATTTCCGCCATTCTAAAATGCTTCGAGAACTATGAAAACATCAAGTCTACATAATATTTTTACAATACATAATTTCCTACCGTAAGAATATTCGTGCGTTAACTTATTCGATTTTCCTCCTCGCCCTGGAAAGTGATGTAAATTGTTTTGATAAAACACGATATCGAGGTTACGGTACGCTTTGCGCTACCGAACTTACGAGAGCCCAGATATCCTCAAGTCGCGCATCCGACAAAACGATAAATTCGCCGGGCCGCGCGTTAAATCCGACGAGGCGAAAGATAGTCCTACGTAATCGCTCGCGTTGCCGTACCGCTAGCATAAAAGTTCGTACTCGCTATTCCCCTGAAAAACTCTTGAACGCTGTGCCGATTTTCATCATCATTATTCCTGACATCATCGTTGTCGCCCGCCTGCTTATCATCATCGTCATTATTAATGCTATTATCGCCCTCTTTATTCTCATTGTCGTTGGCGTTCTCGTCGTCATTTTCGTCGGTGACGTCATCGATGACTTCTATCCCGACAACACGGCTATCGTTGTTGTCGTTGACGTCAATGCTGCGACTATCGTTATTTCCACTATTTTCCGACGGTAAAATTATACACACAATTATGTAAAATCGATTTTGATATGGTAAATCGTTATTTTATCTCAAGTATCTGTGCAGGCTTACATTTGACTTCGGTATTGATAAACTCATTATCTATTATTTCCGCGCTATAAATATCAGAATAAGGGGAAGAAGCGACGTACGCCAACGATGGGGCAGAAATTGATACGTTATTCGCACATACAGCTTAATTTAATGCTAGACTGCTTACCCCGATAAAACAATCCAGCGCTTTTTTCTATTTGTACTTACATGAAATTGGTTGTCCCGGGGAGGCTGGCTCCTCCGTAGGACGTTTACGATTTCGGAGAAGAAGTTCGCTTCGTCACGAGAGGTAGTGACAGCTACGGGTCTGATAAAACGTTATTTTCAAAATTTACATAAATTACAGTTTTTCAGCATAAAATTATTATAGCTTACTCGTTATATGAGGGAGCACATCAAACATCCTCGACATCTTCTCCGAAATTACGTCTAATTAGAATAATTTCCCCCATTATCTCTTTTAATTTAGGATCTTCGCTAAATTTACCACAATTAAATAACAATGCCGCTAGCATACGCGAAATTATAAGGCATAATTTTCCGCGTCATCGCAGGAAATACGCGACAAATGGCGCTTATGAGATATATTGGGGTTCGCGTAGGAGGCCGCGACACTCACGCATTAATTTCTGCACTCGCGACATTCTCGATAATCTCGATGTGTCGTACGAATGAACTTCTCGCGCGAGATCGACGAAGGAAAAACGCGAGACCTAGTTTTCAGCCGTTTTTACACTTCCTGAAAGTTTCTTCTCCTAAGATCATGCGCTTCCCCCAAAAAGCGGTAGAAAATGCGCCGTTGTTTAAAACGCATATCTTTAGCGACGAATGCTCGCGAAAAAATCCCTTCTTTAGAAAATCTTCCAAATGGCCAATCGTTTTCTAACTTTACAGACGTGTATATAATATTTGCATCAGTATGCAGCTAAATTTAAGAGAATTTCTAAGAAAATGAAAATGAATTTGACGAATCAACTATCTTAACGGAACAATATGAATACGGTACGAATACGGTACAGAACGGACAAGTGCAGAAAGTTCTTGAAGCGTCACAAGATATTCTGACGCAAGTCTTTTAATGGTCACTTAATCGAGAATAAACTTGTAGGTGATATCATCATTAAGGAAGGTACTATCGGTTCGAAAATGTACTTCATACAAGAGGGCATAGTCGATATCGTAATGGCGAATGGGGAAGTTGCGACCTCGTTGTCAGACGGATCTTACTTCGGCGAAATTTGTCTGTTGACGAACGCGAGGAGGGTAGCATCAGTTCGAGCGGAGACCTATTGCAATCTTTTCAGCCTCTCAGTGGATCATTTCAATGCCGTGCTGGACCAGTATCCCCTAATGCGCAGAACGATGGAGAGCGTTGCCGCCGAGAGGTATAAGCTTTGGTTAGGTTTGTTCTATCGAGTTGGTGTGCTAATAGATGTCAATCATCACTCCCACTTCCATTTACTTTATTTGAGTAATGTACTGTCTGACAAAACAGAAGTCATTTGTTGATTCACGAAATCACATTGCTCTCTCTATCCCTCTTACTCTCCACTTCTTTCTCACCTCACGTCACCTCATCTCATTATACTTCTCCTCTCTTCTCTTCTCTGCCCCCCCCCCCCCCC